TTGGCGCCGGCAGCCGAAGCCCGACACAAACTCAGCAACATGGCACCGTTCGAGCGACTATCATTGCACTCCGGACCCTACTACCTACTGAGTATCCAGCAGGCATGGCGTCAGGTTTTATCGACGACCGGATCCGTGCCTACTGAGGAGGCGGTGGTGGCCGAAGCCAGCCCCCAAGCTCAGTAACAGGGCACTGTTCGAGCGACGTTTCTTGTTCTTGTTTTTTTTCCTCCCTTCTCAGATATATATTTATTTCGTTGCACCCCGGATCCGACGACCTACTGAGTTTTCGGCGATGGCCGAAACCAGCCCCCCGGCTCATTGGCAGGGAATCGTTCGAGCGACGTTCGTTGCGCTCCGGATCCGACTACCTGCTAGCTGTGCAGCGGTGCATGGGCCAGCGGTCGGCAGGGCACCGTTCGAGCCACAGCTGACAATTGTTTGACACTATGTTATGGTTATTGCACTCAGGATCCGACTAGCCTACCGAATTGGCGGCGATGAACAGAGCCATCCGCCGGCTCAGTACCAGGGCGCCGTTCGAGGGACAATATATTGTTCTTTGTTACTGTTTTCTATTTATCGTGATGGAACTCCAGATCCGACTACCTACTGAGTTGGCGGCGATGGCCGGGGCCAGCCGCCGGCTCAGTAACAGGGAACCGTTCGAGCGGCAGTTTACTGTTGTTGAACGATGGTGTCTATCTTATTGTGATTACACTCCGGTGGCCAACACCAGCCGCAAACGCAGCGACCGGTCACCGTTCGAGGCACATATCGTTCTTGTTTTATTTGTATACTCCGGATCCGACTAACGTACTGAGTTGGCGTTCAGCAACAGGGCACCGTTCGAGCGACAATTTATTGTAGTTTAACGTTGCACCCCGGAGCTGACTACCTGCTGAGGTGGCGGCAATGGCCGAAGCCAGTCCCGATCTCAGCAGCAGGAAACCGTTCGAGCGACAATTTGTTGTTGTTTAACATCTCATGTTCTTCATTGCCCACGTTGTCGGCAATGGTCGAAGCCAGCCACGGGCTCAGCAGCAGGGCACCGTTCGAGCGACAATTCATTGTTGTTTAACATTGCTTGTATTCGTTGTCCACTCCGGATCCGACTACCTACTGAGGTGGCGGCAACGGCCGAAGCCAGCCCGGCGCTCAGCAGCAAGGCACCGTCCGAGTGACAATTTGTTTTTTGTTGGTTGACATCTCATGTCAGTCGTTGTCCACCCCGGATCAGACTACCTGCTGAGATGGCGGCAACGGTCGACGCCAGCCCCGAGCTCAGCAGCAAGACACCGTTCGAGCGACAACTTGTCGTTGTTTAACATTGCATGTATTTCATGTCCACCCCGGATCCGACTATCTGCTGAGGTGGCGGCAACGGCCGAAGCCAGCCCCGCGCTCAGCAGCAGGGCACCGTTCGAGCGACAATTCATTGTTGTTTAACATTGCTTCGTATTCATTGCGCACCCCGGATCCGACTACCTACTGAGGTGGCGGCAACGGTCGAAGCCAGCCCCGAGCTCAGCAGCAGGGCAGGGTTCCAGCGACAATTCGTTGTTGTTTAAGATTGCTTTTATTCGTTGTCCACTCCGGATCCGACTACCTACTGAGTTGGCGGCAACGGCCGAAGCCAGCCACGGGCTCAGCAGCAGGGCAAGGTTCGAGCGACAATATACATTCGTTCAGCATTGCTTGATTCATTGTGCACCCCGGATCCGACTACCTACTGAGGTGGTGGAAATGGCCGAAGCCGGCCACGAGCTCAGCAGCAGGGCACCGTTCGAGTGACAATTCATTGTTGTTTAACATTGCTTGTATTCGTTGTCAACTCCGGATCCGACTACCTGTTGAGGTGGCGGCAACGGTCGAAGCCAGCCCCGAGCTCAGCAGCAGGGCACCGTTCGAGCGACAATTTATTGTTGTTTAACGTTGCTTTGTATTCATTGTGCACCCCGGAGCCGGCTACCTACTGAGGTGGCGGCAACGGCCGAAGCCAGCCCCGCGCTCAGCAGCAGGGCACCGTTCGAGCGACAATTCATTGTTGTTTAACATTGCTTTTATTCGTTGTCCACTCCGGATCCGACTACCTACTGAGGTGGTGGAAATGGCCGAAGCCGGCCACGAGCTCAGCAGCAGGGCACCGTTCGAGTGACAATTCATTGTTGTTTAACATTGCTTGTATTCGTTGTCAACTCCGGATCCGACTACCTACTGAGGTGGTGGCAACGGCCGAAGCCAGCCCCGAGCTCAGCAGCAAGGCACCGTTCGAGCGACAAATTTGTTTTTTGTTGTTTGACATCGCATGTTAGTCGTTGTCCACCCCGGATCCGACTACCTGTTGAGGTGGCGGCAACGGTCGAAGCCAGCCCCGAGCTCAGCAGCAGGGCCCCGTTCGAGCGACAATTTATTGTTGTTTAGCATTGCATGTATTGGATCTCCACCCCTGATCCGACTATCTGCTGAGGTGGCGGCAATGGTCGAAGCCAGCCCCGAGCTCAGCAGCAGGGCACCGTTCGAGCGACAACTTGTTGTTGTTTAACATTGCTTTCTATTCATTGTCCACCCCGGAGCCGACTACCTGCTGAGGTGGCAACGGCCGAAGCCAGCCACGGGCTCAGCAGCAGGGCAAGGTTCGAGCGACAATTTACTGTTGTTCAACATTGCTTGATTCATTGTCCACCCCGGATCCAGTACCTGCTGAGGTGGTTGCGACGGCCGAAGACAGCCCCGAGCTCAGCAGCAGGGCACCGTTCGAGCGACAATTTATGGTTGTCTAACATTGCATGTTATTAGTTGTCAACCCCGGATCCGACTACCTACTGAGTTGCCGGAAATGGTCGAAGCCAGCCACGAGCTCAGCAGCAGGGCACCGTTCGAGCGACGATTCATTGCTGTTTAACATTGCATGTTGTTCATTGTCCACCCCGGATCCGACTACCTACTGAGGTGGTGGCAATGGTCGAAGCCAGCCCCGAGCTCAGCAGCAAGGCACCGTTCGAGCGACAATTTAGTGTTGTTTAGCATTGCATGTATTTCATGTCCACCCCGGATCCGACTATCTGCTGAGGTGGTTGCAACGGCCGAAGACAGCCACGAGCTCAGCAGCAGGGCACCGTTCGAACGATAATTTATGATTGTCTAACATTGCATGTTATTAGTTGTCAACCCCGGATCCGACCACCTGCTGAGTTGGCGAAAATGGTCGAAGCCAGCCCCGAGCTCAGCAGCAGGGCACCGTTCGAGCGACAGTTTATGATTGTCTAACATTGCATGTTATTAGTTGTCAACCCCGGATCCGACTACCTGCTGAGTTGGCGAAAATGGTCGAAGCCAGCCCCGAGCTCAGCAGCAGGGCACCGTTCGAGCGACAGATTATGGTTGTCTAACATTGCATGTTATTAGTTGTCAACCCCGGATCCGACTACCTGCTGAGTTGGCGAAAATGGTCGAAGCCAGCCCCGAGCTCAGCAGCAGGGCACCGTTCGAGCGACAGTTTATGATTGTCTAACATTGCATGTTATTAGTTGTCAACCCCGGATCCGACTACCTGCTGAGTTGGCGAAAATGGTCGAAGCCAGCCACGAGCTCAGCAGCAGGGCACCGTTCGAGCGACAATTCGTTGTTGTTCAACATTGCTTTGTATTCATTGTGCACCCCGGATCTGACTACCTGCTGAGTTGGCGGCAACGGTCGAAGCCAGCCCCGCGCTCAGCAGCAGGGCACCGTTCGAGCGACAATTTGTTTGTTGTATGACATCGCATGTTGTTCGTTGTCCACCCCTGATCCGACTACCTGCTGAGGTGGCGGCAATGGTCGAAGCCAGCCCCGCGCTCAGCAGCAGGGCACCGTTCGAGCGACGATTTTATTGTTGTTCAACATTGCTTTTATCCATTGTCCACCCCGGATCCGACTACCTGCTGAGGTGGCGGCAACGGCTGAAGCCAGCCCCGCGCTCAGCAGCAGGGCACCGTTCGAGCGATAATTTATTGTTGTTTAACATTGCTTTGTATTTATTGTCCACCCCGGATCCGACTACCTACTGAGTTGACGGCAATGGTCGAAGCCAGCCCCGCGCTCAGCAGTAGGGCACCGTTCGAGCGACAATTTTTTAGTTGTTCAACATTGTATGTTATTCATTGTTCACGCCGGATGCGACTACCTACTGAGGTGCCGGCAACGGCCGAAGCCAGCCCCGCTATCAAAAGGACACGGCACCGTTCGAGCGACAATTTTTTTTGTTGTTGTTTAACATTGCATGTTGTTCATTGTCCACCCCGGATCCGACTACCTACTGAGGTGGTGGCAATGGTCGAAGCCAGCCCCGAGCTCAGCAGCAGGGCACCGTTCGAGCGACATTGTTTCGCCTGCATGCTATATGGCATTGCGGGGGAGATATGCTGGGTGGTATCATGCATCATCAGCCGAGCCCACGACTCCGTTTCTATTTTCTCGTGTTTATGGCGTACCTACATTCCCACACGGGAGTTCGATCACGTGTAGGGCGTTGGTTCAATCACGTTTAGTGCGTTGGGTGGTGGAGACGGTTACGCATAGTTGCGCATAGATAGCAGAATACCAGCATAGGGGTGGCGTCATGATGAGGATACCGGTACGTATATAGTCACAGCAGTAGCCCTCGATTGCTGTTCGCCTACCGCTCGGTTGCAGAAACTGAACGCTGGCGGAGGCAGACGAGAAGTACAAATGGGAGCACACAGCAGACTGCTGTCGAGCCGACTGGGCGAATTGCGTGATCTCATGTGGCGGCGTCCTATGCATACCTCCATGTGTCCGCTGCCGTTGTGGCACTCGATACACATTCATAGTTGGACGAGGCGCAGACGGACCTGGATGCGTGCGCCTCAGAACTGAACGACATCCACTCGCGTTCGGAGGACCTCGTTCGTACCCTCCAGCAGGATGTGGCGAACAAGGCTGTGCGCGTGGAAGGTCCCGCCCCGGAAGTGGAAGACCGTGAAGGAACGGACTACGAGATGATCAGGTACGTTCTTATGATCGATTGCAAAAGGGAAGCACCAAAGTAGCACTTGGTGTGGGCGTCGTATTGATTTGTCTTTGGTTGTATTGTGCCTTATGATGGTTGCAGGTGACATTGTTGCTGTAGATGGTTGTGGCGGTATCCGTTGTTTGCGATTGACACGGGCGACGAAGCTGTCACGCTGGGGCCTCCGTGCCGGCAAGGACAAATCGAGTCCTTCAACCCTCCCGCCGCTCTCTGTCTCGAGGAAGGTGGGTGGATCGAGGAGGTGCCGCTCGAGGGGAAAATGTAGGCATGACCCCCCCACTCCGCACACGCCTTTGGATGCTTCGATGCCGTATCTTTTAGCGCCCGCTTGGAGGCCGTGCAGCGGCTGATATTTACGACCACGACGCTGGAGGAGGAAATCTTCACGTGCCAGGGCGAGAAGGCAGACGCTGTCGACCGCGAGGGCAAGACAGACGAGAACATGCGGAAGTTCAACGAGGACCTCTCCGTCTGCGCAACCTACGTGAGCATCCGATGAGCGTGACCGAGCGTGAGGTCGAGCACCGTTTGTCGCTCTGTTGGTGGTATCCATTTTCTCGAGTCTGCACAAGAATAACACCACTAGTTGCGTGCCTAGGACTAGGGGAGCTGGTCAATCTCATGCCCCGAGCATTCGATCTTGTACATACCACATTTCATTGTCAAACACTCTTGAAACGTTCGCGAAACCGTCGCCAGGAGAGGCCCTTTGGTGGTTGGTATCCGAAATGGGGGACGGCGGCGGCATCGAGGGGCTAAGGGCGGTGGATGATGCATTGGGAAGGGGGGCTACGCAGAGTTGTTGGTAGTGGGGGCTAGAAAGCAGACGGTAGATAGCCGATCCCCCGACAGCCATTGACAGAGCTACTCTGCAACCGCAGACCCCCGCCTGTGCTACTCGATTGTTTCGCTGGTATGACTCTCATCAACCGCAGGGGGATGGTTCCCACAAGGCTTGGATGTCGTGTCTCGAGTGCCTCACCAGCGTCGACAGGGTTTCGCTAGACATCGATTTTTTCGTTGAGGAAATCTCCTTCCGAGTGGGGGTGTTTTGTCCCGCGCCGAGCGGCTTCCGACCTGGAGGCGTCAAACGTCTTTTAGCGTTGCAAACCACGCCGACCGGGTGGAGGAGACGCAGCAAGAGGTCCTCGATAGACTGCGGTAAGCGTTTGTGCTTGGTCGATTGCAAGGGGAGAGTCCATGACAGATAATGTCATGGGTCCTTGTGTTTGGCAGAGGTTGCTGTTGTCGTGGTTGTCGTTGCTATTGTTTCTGTCTGTCTGTCTGTCTGTCTGTCTGTCTGTCTGTCTGTCTGTCTGTCTGTCTGTCTGTCTGTCTGTCTGTCTGTCTGTCTGTCTGTCTGTCTGTCTGTCTGTCTGTCTGCCTGTCTGTCTATTTATCTGTTGTAAGTAGTTACAGTAGTCTGGCTTCCTTTTGTACGGTGAATACTGATGCCGTCGTCATCGTCATCGTTGTTGCTTGTTGTTGTCGCTCTTGGTCGGCCGCTACCGATGATACCCAGCAACTGATTTGGCTTGTGCTTTGGCGTCAGGATCTCATCCGCTCCCCCTCCCGGCATCCCCTCCCGACGTCCCCCGCTGAACCAATGCGCATGTTCCCGCTCAGGGTTCGAAGACATGCAGGAAATGGCCGCTGCCGTGGTGTCCAACATGTGCAGCTGTACGGGCCCGGTGAGTTATTGTGGCTGGTTCAGCGTTATTTTTCATGCCTTGCAGCGAAACTCGTTTTTTTTTCACCAGCTGTTCGACTCTTCACGAGTGGTGGGACCGAGGGTGCTACTTCGTTGATTGTTGGTCGTTGGGATTCTAGAAAACACACCTCGGGGCGTGATTGTCCCTACAGCAATTCGCTACTTTCGCCTTGTGGGGAGTAGGGGTGGGGCGGGGGAGGGGGGGGGGGGTACTTGGGGGAAGTCGTGATGGCACTTGAACAATGATGACGATAACACAAGGGAAGCGCCAACGTCGTGGTAGGGACCTTGAACAAATTGTTGCATCGTCGATGATTGTTGATGCCATGGTGGGTGTTGGCGGCACTCTTGTCTCAAAGACCTCCTCCGTTCGGGTGTACGATGATGGTTTGTTGTTGTCGTTGTGGTTCGCACACACACCGGCAACGAAAACGAAACGGAACACGGCAAGAGTTTTTCGAACCGTCCGTTCCCCAGCAGTGCCGCCCCATGGCAAATGCTTAAGGCGAGCCAAAACCGAGCAACCCCCATCTGTCATAGCACTGACATTGGGTAGTTTGATCGCGTACCTTGTATGTTCTCGCTGGACAGGCCCCGGACGATTCGGACGAGCCAACTGGGGGCAATGGCAGCGGCGTCAGTGCCAGTGACAGCAGCGGCGACGTCAATAATACGGGCGTGGACGTGGGCGAGGACAGCACGGCCTCAGCCGGAGATGCCACGGCGGTAGACCGGACGGAGGCTGATGATGCCGGCAACGGGGAAGACGTGGGCGGGCAAGAGCCTGACGCCCACGGCATTGACGCCAACCCACCTAAGGTAGATGGGATTTGACCTGTCTGCTTCTCAGTGATTGTTGTTTGATGTGGGGCAGCAATGCCTGTTTTCAAGCGTGGGTTCAGCGCCGTGTCCTCCGTGGTGAGTGAAAGTTTGAACTCTTTCAGCCCCGTGAGCGTGGGCGTCTTGGTCTTGTTTTGTTTTGTTCTTCTGTTTGGCCTCTTGAAGTCGGGTTCTGTACATGGTCTAACCTGTATATATTGGGTTCAAGGTTGGGGTCGGGGTCTTCTGTGCTGTGTCCGTTTCGGAGACGCGGTCTTCGACTTGCCCTCTTGATGCTGATGATTGCCTTATTGTTTGTCGCGAAAAAAGTTGCACTCCCTCTTTCGCTCGTCCACCGAATGTACAGTACTACCGTAGAAACAGAATGGAGAATTTTTGTCGTGTACCATGAAAGTGCAGATTGTTGTTCTCACTTGCTTGGTCGAGCATGGTGCGAGAAACTACTTGCATTCCCCAAGTCCTGTGATTGCGCCTAAACTCGAACACAACTCTAGAAGTCATAGAGATGCTACTCTGTAGGTTGTTATGAAATGAACCACCCGGGTAAATGGCCGCTACTCGTAGCCGTCGTTTTTCTCATCTACCCACTAGAAACCGCGCTGACGTCCATCCAGACTCTGGTGCCCAAGGTGCATTTCTTCAAGGAAAATCACGAAACAAGAATGTTCACACCACCGCGCAAGGTCTTTCACTCATCCATATCAATTGAGGCACCAAAACAGCGAAAATCGTCGTCAAAAGTGTAGCTCCAACACAGTCAGTCTGCGGTCAAGAAGAGGCCCTATCCTGCCCTTGGTACATGGAAGGAAAAATACAAGGAGAGGGCAAGAGCGAGGAGAGGCACCAAAACGAAACAAAGGGGAGAGAAATTCCACGGAATGAATGAATGACCGGGTGTGACAGAGATATCTACGAACAAATGGATGCGTCATTTTCATTGGAGAAAGTACATTGAAAATGTCCGTAGTAGTATTGATCCTCGCCTTACACCCGAGTGGCTCCGAGGTGTTTCCATTCTCCACACTGCACATGGCAATGTTTCAACTGAACCTCGAGCAGGGGGAGGGCCGCAAGCACGAACTGCGGTACATTACTATTGATTGGGAAGGGGGGCCTGTGGGGTGTCTCGTTATCCCGTCTGAGAGAATATTTTCCGATCAACAAACCCCCCGAAGTGTATGTTCGGGCTGCTTCTATAAATCTGCTGTGCCTAACGCTTGGTCGGTGGTTCCACAGGGGGGGGTTCTGTAGCAGTTTCTACACTATTTACACTGATCTGCTGCTGCTACTCAGTGAGCCGAGGTCAGCTAAGGATACCAACTTTGAAGAAGGCAACCGGTGTTTGGGATTTTCACTGTCAGGAAGTGGGTGAGTCGTATGTTCACTCCACGCGCGGGAGGTAGTACATCGCGTGCCGTGCACACCACGCCAAGCTGCGTTTGTCAGTCGCACACGCACCACTGCTTTGCAAGTGCTAATGAGGTGTTCACCGCTGATGTCTCGTACTACAGCAGTAGAGTACACGTATCGTCCCTTGGCAGCTCGCGCGGGCATGAGCGGCGAAACAATTGCATTTTCACAATTCAAGAGACATTCTGCACCATCCGAAACATATGATGAATCGGATTCACGCTCGAAAGCTATATATATGTACGTAGCCCATCATGAACCACGCCTCAAGACCTCTGTGCCTGCAAACCATCTCGGAGTCGTCATGCGCTTGCGTGGCTCATTCGATACGGTATATGTGCCGGCTATGCATTGGTTATAGACGCACGCAAAGGGAGGGAGGCCGCCAAAAATAACACTCGACCTGCATTCCGCCGCAAGCAACCTTGTGCACTTTCTTTCGTGAGAGGAGCTACATTTGGTACAGCCGAAATTACTCCCGCACCAGACATAGGTGATGGCCTTGAGGATATATGATGCAGCCGAGTTGGAAATTGGTCCTTAGCTTGGTGTCCCTCCGTGACATCATCATAGTCTATTCACTCGACAGACTTTCGTCGTTCGCTGGAAGTACGGACTTACAAGTAAGTGAAGTTCTGAAACCAAATGTGTAGTGCCCGAGACACGCCCAAGACTGTGGCCGCAGCACCACCTGGGCGGTGTCGTAAACAAGGCACCGCCCCAACCTGTCCGAGAACCTATCTCATGGGCACAAAAAAAAATTGCACTGCCCCCAGCTGTCACACAAGCAGCCATTTGGTCGAAACCTATGCGTGTTGCCGAGATACACCCAAGAATGTGGCCGCAGCAGCACCGCCTCGCGGGTGTCGTACACAAGGCACCGCGCGAACCTCATCCTATGGGTACAAAACAAATATTGCTGTGTTCCCACGCCCGCCAGCTGTTGGTTAGCCGTTATTAAGCCAATGATTTACTCGTGATTGCCGAGAGACATGTGGTTGACGCGATATATGTAGACCTACATGTTGCCTTTCGCTAGTTGAATAACTACCGGTCATGTTCAGATAGTGCTGATGTTTTTGCTCCTGCTACTTCGACGTTTGCGCAGCGCTAATGTGTGGCACACGCATACGTGTCTGTTCGGGCGGTACAAATTCCCTTCCAAAGGCTTACAGTCTGGAATGGGGAGAACCGTTCAGCTACTTGATGATGTACGGTCACGTTGCGAAGCATATATTGCGTTCGGATGTTGAAAACGTCACCACAGTGACGCGTAGTCGACGGAACATCGCATATCGAAGATAGTACCGGACGTCAGAAGAACAATTGCGTTCGAAATTGGAGCAATCGATGAACACACCCTTGCACACGAACGCGCCAAAAGAAAAATAAAGGATACTCGATGTAACCGCACCCTGCCTTCTTCATAGGCGCAAAAGATTGACGCTGAAACAGACTACCTCCCCTTCCCGCCGTAGGAAAAACTCCATGGTCAACTATGTACGTATTTGGTTCTTTTTCTCGCCCGCCGCTGTCCACCTTCGGTCAAATCCTTCATCCTTGTTGATCTACGGGATTTGTCCTTCAGTCCCCACGGGTTGGCGGGCGTCGCGGTACAGCCAATGCGTGATTGCTCCACTTCTCGCTTGACGTCAAAACCTAGTCGACAAGTGTCAGCCTCCCTTTCTTGGGGACCTGCACGGGATTCGTGGCCGTCTGCCCACCGAGCAGGTACTGGATGCATGCCCCGACTTTGGGTCTATACACCCAGGGCTTGTAGTCAGGCGAAACTGACCGCAAGAGTTCTCCCACGGTCTCCTTGCTCTTCGCCATAATCGTGGCGAACACTCGGATGCCTCGCGGCGTTCTGACGCACCTTGTGCACGTTCTCCGGGGTGCACGCCCTCGTTGTCGTCTGACGCCGAGCTTGTTGGATCGCTCACCGAGGTAGCCCTTTTGGGTTCTTCATCACCTTCGTCAGCTCCCTTGAGAAGGCTTGACTATTTTTGACGAAGCGAACAGGGGGGGGGCCGCAGGGCTTCCGTTCACAAGGTATGGCCAGATATCCAGCATGCTTTCACGACAACGTGATTTCACCGGAAGTTTCATCCTTGGCGTCAGTTTTGCGAAACGCCTCCTGTCGGTTGTCGTGGCGTGTGGGGTCGTCGATGTCTTCGTCAATCTTCACACCGAACAAGCCCGTGGAGTTGGCCTGCTCTGTGAGCGAGCGCACACACTCGACGTGAGAAGGTTGCTCTTGGTCGACGGCGGCGGCGGGAGCCTCCTGTTGGTTGCCATGCGTTGTGATACAACTTCATGTCTCGGTATGGGCCAAGCTCGTTTGTTGAAGGCATCTGAACAACATGCACCCCGTCACTGCTGGAGATCATATTTTGCCGTTGTTGACACGATTTTGGAAAGCCCCCGTCATTTCACGATACATTGGTTGTTGCTATAGAGGGGTTCGTGTCCAGTCAGTCGGAGGACAACAAATAGAAGGCCATTGGTACACCCTGGCGAAAGTCGTTTGGCCGTGACTTAGGGGTCACGACAATAGGAGTTGATACTGGTCTCTCCCTGCACTCTGTCGGAGAGAGCACGCCACACTGAAGCGTAGTCACGATGACACGTTAGCAGGACTAGAGGGTCAATAGGCACCGTCAAGCCGGCGCATGTTTCCCATCCCACCGATGTGTTTCATTTCGAAAGGAAGGGGCTGGGCCAACATTGAGGGAAAATTGTACTTCCGGTTTTCTGTCGATATATGTATCTCGTGTGGGGGAATACCGTAATAGTCGGAGAGTTGGCACCGGGTGCGATCGCTTTTTTAATCGTTTTTTCCTCGGTTTTTTTATCGCACCCCGGTGCCATCAATCCGACCGGTGCCATCTCTCCGACCCCGGTGCGGAAAGGCAATTGAGTCATTTCGTTTAGATTTTTGTAGGCACCCCGGTGCGATCTCTCCGACGGGTGCCATCCCCAATGAACTAACTACACACAGGTGTTGTATGCGCGCACCCCGGTGCCATCTCCCCGACCGGTACGATAGTATTGATACCAGTGTAAGCAACTCACACGCACGGTCTTCTTCACACGGTCGTTGACAATGCTATTGATCGGTATTGTACGTGTAGGTACCGTTGTTGCTGGTTGGAAGCACACCGGTAACGGCGACGTCGACTGGTACGTCACAGCTTTCCATGCCGGGAGTGGTCTTGTGTTTGATGCGAGTTTGGCTATGGCGTGACAACAACAAACGATGTCGTTTCCATCTGAGGTGGTACCAGTACACACGGCATCAATTGTTTGTTTCCGGATTTCGTTTCGGTCTTCTTCTACGGATACCAGTACGTACGCAGCAGCACAATAGTTTCGGGTTGTGTAAGGTGGGGTAGGGTGCGGCTTGTACGTTGTGTGTTTGGTTGAGTGTACGGTTGGCAATTTCCATACCACTAAAAAAATTAAAACAACCGGCATCCCTCGTGAACCGCGACCATCCAATCTTACATAAGGGAGTGGCGCTCCGCTGACACCGTCCCCACGTGTAAAAGGTACGCACAAGTACCTCATTCCGGCAGCTGAAAAGGAGCTCAATTAAGGATTTGGGGGTCGGAGAGATCGCACATGGTACCTCGTTCCGGCAGCTGAAAAGGAGTTCAATCTTGGATTAGGGGGTCGGTGAGATCGCACCCGGTGCGATCTCACCGACCCCGGTGCGTGAATCGAAAATATGTTTTTTTATCGGTTTTTTTATCGCACCGCGGTGCCATCTCTCCGACCGGTGCCATCTCTCCGACCGGTGCCATCTCTCCGACTATTACGGTAACCATGGCAGTTGCGTGCGACATTGCGGGCTTGGTCGTCCCAGACCCGTTGCGCGCATCTTTGGCGAGGGGTAACACTAAGGACAGAGCGTTGTGGAAGGAATGCAAGGCACGCGATCTCCCTTGGCCTAGAAACCGATAGAAATGCGGATGGATAGGGAAACATGCCACTTTCACCACATGCCTTAAACAAAAATTCGTTGAAATTCAAAACAGCTACCAATCCTCGCGTGTGTGAAGTATTTGTCTCTTGCTATTTCGCACTAGCAAATGGAGTTCGAGTGTCGATCGGCGAATCAATTGAGGGGCGTCGTGAGGGGGCGTCGTGAGGGGCGTCGTGGGGTCTTCGAGCTCTCGATTGTGTCCAAATACGTCAATATCTTCTAGTACGAAAGCCACGTGTTCAATTCCACCATGCAACTCGTTCCCAGTTCCCTTGCAAGAGTACCACGCCATCGTAGAACCTCGCCCCGAAATACCCAAGCAGGACCGGCGTTATTTTGGAACTGGGTAACCGTATCCAGGTACCTGTCACGTTTCATCAACCACCACGTTTGTACACAGACAGCCACAATTCTCTCGGAACCCCTCCCCTATAACACGACCGGTTCGAAATCGTGTCCTATTTTTTGCCTTCTGAGTTGTTGTTGGTTATTTCTACGAAACACACAAAAACAACCGAAGTCTTCAGGACGGAGTTCCTCCCGTAAAGGGGCTTATACGAGAACTCGCTCCACTCGTCGCCGAGTACATACAGCTGCACTTCCCGCTTTAAAGATGAGTGTTTGGGTGCACATGGTCATGGTCATACATACCGTCGTCGTAAAACAAACGTTCCCACGCAACGCCAAAGCAACCCCCCTCCCCCCCCCGAGACCTTGTTGCACATACTCAGGCCTGGCCAAATAGGGCATACAATCGCCACGTGCACGAAAGAAGCGCCTCGCGATCCCTGTGAAGTGAATAGAACGCTCGATTCTCCTCCCAACCTCTCGGCGTGCCCCCAACGCGTACATTAAGCCTTCGTTCTACGCGCAGATTATAAACTAGTCAAGAACCCAGAGGCGTTCCTTTGTCTTCGTCCCACTGCTCGAAGAACACCCTAGCCTTTGCAGCTGATGACTCACTACCGCTCCTGCCGTCATCGTTACCGCCACCGTCGCCTCTACCAGCGACCATGTAGTACTCGGAAGTGCCATTCCCGGCTCCGATGTCGGCGGAGTTGTTGGCTTTTTCCTGCGAAACAGTAGTATGGGCAAGCAGAGACCTGTTCGGTAAGACGAGTAGGACAAATCCATGTCAAGTGGACAGGTCTCTTCTAGGATCACCTCGGTATCCACCAGGCTTGCTTGCACTGTCCACCAAGCTTGGTTATTGTCCATCCCATGGATACAGTGTAGCGTTTGGGGGGATAGACAGACTACGTTGACACTTTGTTTGCGGAAAACACCTGCATACCTAAGTCAACTACAGAGGAAAAACATGTGACATGGCGGGCAATAACCCCTCTTCTGGTAGTTGCTGCCGGCGCTCCTTCCCTATTGGCCCTCCGGTCTCTTCGTATCCCCCAAAATAACATAAAACTCGTCAGGTTGAAGGTTGATATCGCGCTTCTCTGTAACATTAAACTCAGTATGGCATGTCTCGCTTCTTGTAGCGTCGTTGATCCTGAACTTCTCGTATTGGCTATATGTACCTTGGACTTCTTTCCCTTTGTGGCACTACTCTCGTTCGGCGGCGGCGGGGTGGGCGTCGCTGGCGACGGGGGAACGGAAACTCCTGCGGCTGCCAGCAAGGACACGGCCGCCTCGGCACTACCAGGGCCAGCCCACTGCATACCCAGCACGGGGAAGGAGGACGCAAGTTCGGCCATGGAGGATGGGGCTCCGGAGAAGAAGGTCTTGCTTTGGGCCTGTCATTTGTTCCGAAGATGACCACACCGACACAGTGTGCATACAGCAGGGTGAAACGATGTTTCGTTCGTGTGTAGGGGCTAGTTGCGCATGTCGGGGCGATGTTGGGGCAGGATGGTGAAGGTGGCTTAGTCTCAGCACATGATAGGACCGGTGATGGATGACGAACACGTTTGATAGGCTTGCAGTTTTTCATACCTCAGAGACACAATTTGGCCATGCCGTATTAATTAGTCTCTGTAGCAAATTATCGGCTTGTCTGTCGGCTGTCGGACTGGCATCGATCCATGAAAATGCTTCAGGAAATTGACTTGTTTTGAAAAAGAGCGTCTAGCTCTTCACGTTCGCTTCTATGAAATATCACAATGTCCACACTTTCGTTTGTTGGTGTCATTCGACTCCCTCCCCTGCCTGCTACAGCAGCTGATCGGCCGATCGAAACTCCCCGTGAGGTAGTCGAATCGATCAGAAAACGACGAAGGAAGGATATAATCGATTCTTCAACAACCTCTTCTCGCGATGATTTGAGCTGCGAGAAATGTGCTTCACAAACAGAAAATGAGCAGATCAATAAACTCATCAATGTCCAGGTGCGACGCCCAAGCAAGAACACACTGCTTTGGCCACCTCTAGTTTACTACCCACCATTTGCGGGCGGAAGAGCTTAGTCCTCAGCAGCCTTGACGTCGTCGCCGATATCGGGGAGTCTCCCCCGCCTCCTACGGCCAGCAGCTTCCCCAGAACGGCGTCGATGTGCCCCGGCATCACCACGATGAAGCAGGTCTCTTCGGCCTCCGTAAAACCCCTCATCCCCGCTGTTGATTACCCGGTAGTTTCCAAATGCGATGGTGGGAATGTTTCGAGGACATGTTAGAGGCTATTTCTGCAACTTTGATCACGACAACGGATATATTTTGACAGTACATTGCTGACGACACCGGTATTAATAGGAGCACAAAGCAGCTGGGAAAAAAAGTTACAAGTTTGTTTTTTTAAACGTTAGGTCGAGAATGTTGTTCAATAACGCTTTTGTGGCACGCTCACTTATGGGGCGAAGGAAGTTTTCTTCACGGGGCTGGTGGAACGTGGAGGCGTGATCTTCATGTTTTTTGTAACGGCGAGAAGCAGACACACCCCTTCAAACCACACCGCGAAGAAACCGGCTAGAGGATGCGGGAGAGGGCAGTAACGACCTTTTTTCCTCAGTCACGACACCCCAAGACACCTAACCTCGTACGAGAAAGATGCTGGGTAGAGCTACCTCCCTCGGAGTGGCATGGCTGTCGCTGTTGCCTCCTCCTTCTATAAGTTATCGCTTGGAAAACCAAACCATGAGCACACCATCCCCGCGAACTTGAACCAACCGCTCTCTGACGCGGGTATTGTAGGGTCAACCAAAACGTTTTCCCGACGCGCACGACACGACACGGCAACAAACCTTGGGCATGAAAGATGGAGTAGAGAACTACCTCGCGCCGAGTGGCCTTGCTATACTGTTGCTTCCTCCTTCGGAAAGTTATCGGTCAGAACCCAACCCCGCGGCACGGTCAATATCACCGCACCGAACTAACCGCTCGCGGCCGTTGACGGTCGTGAGTCAACACAAATTGTTTTCCCTGCTCATTCGGCGCCTCACGGCGCCGAATCTAGGCATCGACCAACAGCCCATAGCATTACCTCCTTCCAGATACCGTTCATGAGGCAAATCGGAGAACACGGTGCCTTCCGATCGAAGCTGGAGAGGGGGTCTACATGTGTGGTAGGGGTAGGCGCTTGGCGTGGATTGGCGGAAGTCTCGCCACGTAGCTTTTGTTCCACACCGTCGTCGCCAAAAAAAAACTGCAAACGTTTTGCTGAAGATCGCGCGATATGTATCCGAAACCAAAAGTTTCACAACTTTGTTTTCAAATATTTCGCCCATAAAGAGCGTACATGAGGAACGTTACGAGAAACGTGTGGCAACGTTTTGCTCCCAAAAAAGCGGTGTGACTCGTTTCGAGTTTTCATACAGCATCGGATACATCCTGGACTCTTTCAGGGAAGCGAGAAACAAGACATGGTAGGGTTTGTTCCTTTCTTTCCACAAACAAACCTATACCTTACAACATTTTTCCGACCCCGAACTTCCTCTAACCTTCAGGTGGCTCAATACCTACCCCCAAATGTTCCACTAGTCTAGGCGGTTTTCATTTTTGCAGAGTTGGAAAGTTCCGTCATTGATGGTGGCGTAGGTCGTGGTGACTTCATGTTCATCGCCACGAATTTCTAGACACAAAAGCTCTGACCACAATCGTGATATTCCTCAATAGAAGAGAGGCAGGCAATTTCCTTGTCTCCGGAAAGGGACAGGCGCTATGAATGGACGCCCGACCATGATTTTCCCTTGCATAGGAAATCAAAGCGTAACCCGTTCCAGACCCGCCCGCCCCCTCCACACGTGATCACGGAGTCGGGACGTCTCTTCAACGTGTCTCACCAGTAATAGGGACGACTGCTCCGTGAGTATTTTCTGTGTACCCCACTCTTTGCCTCGAGGCCTCCGGCAGGCTGCGTGTGGTGAAGTCCCTGTGCAAACAGACGCAGACAAGAAAAGATTGTTGAGCATCATTAGTTGGAGGGTCACCACTCGAGAGGTTGGAAAATCGGGCAGATAATTATTTTTTTCTCTAAGCACCCATTGGCTAAGGGCAATGGCGCGTCGTCCAGTTGATGGCCCATTTATGTTGGTCGCCAACTCTCAACATCACGTAGTCGACGACGTCTTGTTGAGTAGAGCATCACCACCAAATGTTGCACTGCCTCAAGTTACCATGGGAGTAGGATGTTTCACCTCTCCATGAAAAAGTTACAAATTGATCATATTTCTGGAGGTGAGCATCATTATTTTCACTTGTGGTACATATTAACCTCTCCGCCCTCCCACTAAGATGCGGTTCCTTAGTCTATTCCAGCTACGGTACCATTGCATGAAAAATTGAATTTCCGCAATACTATCTCATTCCCAGCACATTTTGCACAAATGTCACATGTTCGGCGCAGCAATCGCAAAGTCCTCGGATAAGACCAGTTAGACCAGTTTGACCGCGATGAACGCATGTGGGATTTAAACGGACGTCGCTGCCCCTACATTCCCAAACGCTTGGCGCTTCACAGACGAGAAGGCCACGATCGTGGGGGTGTATGGGTACCTGTGGTGGGATCCTTCGGGAAGGCACGACCAATCCCCGTCGCCCCCTCCGGTAAAATTATGTATCTGGCTCCACCTGTTGTTCCATACGCTTAGCTTGGCTGCCGCGAACTGGCCAGCCAGACTTGAGGTTTGAAAGGGTCGCAATCGGCGGGGCACGAGGACGAACGGGGATTCCGCACGAGGGGGACAAAGCGGAGTGGCATTGCGCGTCAAATGCACGTGATGAAGGTTGCACACTTTGAAAAGGCTCTGCATCAATCTGACCTAACGGACGAGGGAGTTTTGGTGTGAGTCATCCTCCAGTCAGGAACCAAACACTACAATATCAAATGAAAGCAATGACAACGGATCACTCTTTCGACGCTGATATGTCGACTAGGGAGAAACCTGTGTGCATGGACGTTGCCTACTCTAGCCCAAAGTCATTGAAAGCAAGACGGGAAGGGCACGATTTTGGCACGAGTTGTGTCCTCCCGGACAGGTTTCGTTTTTAGCTGCTACATATCAACAACCGTGACGTCAACTACTGTAGCTGCGCCAAAGATGCCTGAAAACATCACATTCAGCCATCATGGCGTTATCAGCAATCGCGTCGTCGTAGAGGGAACGACGCGTCTGTGAGGGCACTTGGCAGCCTCGAAAAAGTAAATCAATTTTCTTCCAACCGCGGCAAAATTGCTCATCTCAGGCAAGCAGCCACCCTTCACGATAGCAAGCGGAATATCGATATGTGCGTTCTATCTACGCACTGATCCATAATGGAGTGGGTGGGATGGAAGACACATAGAGGGGGGCAGAATAGGGGTTTTGACGCTGGCTCTTGTTCTTATACTTTAATCCAACATACAGAGAGAAAACAACCTTCCCGGCTAAGGAACCTGGAAATTAGTACAAATATCAGTAGAGGACACCATCAAGAGGCGTCGTGTGTGTTGGCACGTTCAGGTTTGCTACTGGAGCTGAAATATCGAAGGTCGCGGCAGCCTCTGAAAATAGTCCAAAATCTGCGGCAGAACAAAGCGGCATCCAACATTTGTCACAGCCGTGCTCACCGCCACGGAGCGTAAACCCCTGAACGGTGGGCATCACCTACTGCTGAAAAACCCGCAGTCCAGGAGATTGGGGTCAGTGGCGAGCACAAGCAGTACAAGACACTGGGTGTTGGTCTAACTTGCGGAGATGTGCGAAGATTGTAGGACACTACTACACCGCTCGATATAACCACCGCAGAAGCAGATTTGAGCGCGTCAACACGCACCCCGCGCTGCTAATGATGCAATTACTATGCACCAGGTTCCTTGCAACACAGAGCTTATTTGAGCACCTGCCGTTTTCACTCTTTTGACTTGAATTTAGAATAGTAATTTTTTAGGTCAGTGGCGAGCACAAGCAGTACAAGACACTGGGTGTTGGTCTAACTTGTCAAGATTTGCGAAGATTGTAGGGCACTACTACACCGCTCGATATAACCACCGCAGAAGCAGATTTGAGCGCGTCAACACGCACCCCGCGCTGCTAATGATGCAATTACTATGCACCAGGTTCCTTGCAACACAGAGCTTATTTGAGCACCTGCCGTTTTCACTCTTTTATCTTGATTTCGAAGGAGGTGTGTGGAGGTAGACGCGTGGAATGTATGTATTGAGGAGCCTCTACTGGCGCCCTGTGCGAGAATCAACGATTTCTGTTTTTCGCGATGCCTGCCGACTGGTCGTGTCTCTCTCGTGTGCCATTTGGTGTTCTTGCGTTTTTTTCAAAATTTGTCAACATCAAAAGTTCGTGTTCTGCCATCCCTTAAAGAACCCGCAGCGCACAAAGAAAGCGGATCCACCCCCCCAAGTCGGCGTTGCTGATTCCATTCGAAAAGGGGTACCATACTAGGGGTTCAAACCTAGAAAACGGTTCAAGTTACACCTCGCGACCTACAACGATCGGAGATTTCGATACAATGATAACATCTGTTCGCCAAGCAAGAAAGGATTTAAAGGTATGGAATACCACGCGACTCCCTGCCATGCCACCTCGGTACTCAATCCATTGCAGCGCCGTACCTGAAGTAATCCAGCGTATAGCAGCCGAACCGGAGCCCCACGGAGGACTCAATCACGGGCTGGGTGGCACTGAACAAAAAGAAGGTGCAGTCCGTGCAGTCCCGGGCGCGGAACTGCTGGCAGGCCACCACCACGGTGCAGTCCTTGCAGTCCCGAATAAACACACTGGAATATTTTCAGAAACTTGTTTCAGAAACCGCGCTATATGCGTGCGTCCCAACGGGCGAGTGAAGACAAGTATTGGCAGGTACACATGATTTTGAGATTTGAACAAACGAGACTATGGGGGAGAGCAGTGCATGACCTTGCTATCTCGAGTGGAGAGTAGGGGACACGGAAGAGGGTTGTCGATATGAGATCTTTAATACGGGATCGCGACCCGTGTCCACCGTAGAAGCAAATATCGAGCAGCGACGACAACGTTGTACTATTAGCGGTAACGTGCTCGAACCAGACATGTTAGTTTCCCAAAAGAAACTCTCATTTTCCGCCTACAATAAAACATATTTCTACATAGCACCCAGACTACAGCTTTGCTTGTATCTTGCCTGCTCTCGCAAGGCCCCGCGATAATCCTGCAGTCTGTGCATAGGTCGATGGTGAGTGCTGCGGTGTGATCCAGAAGGTACACCTCGCACTCCGAGCACTCCTCCACTATGAATTGCTGTCCACCGATGCTACCAGGTTCTCGCACGATTACCTTGTGTCACAGAGAAACACGAAGAAACCAGAGCAAGCAAGCGTTGACGACGTACAGGTTGGTGATATTCGGTGATGCGTTCTGTAGCGTTGGTGTCAACTAGCAGGTGCCGCATCTCCGTCAGTTCCAATGTCACGCAATACTGTGCTTGAACACGTTTTCTCGCCGTTAATTATTTTCTGCCACATTCGTGTAGTCTATCCTGCCATCAGCGAAAGCCAGCTTCCCATTGTTTCGATGGGACATGCAACAACGCACAATGAGGTAGAAGTAGCTCACAACGCTCTCACCTCTTTCTGCTTACACGAGAAGATGAAATCGCTAGGATTGAGATTCCCCTTGTCGAGAGCACCCCTGGTAAGGCTTCCACCGCCTGCCGCCGCTAGGCAGTAGGTGGTCACGCCGACATTGTGCGAGGGCCATAAGGTCGCAGTGAGATATTTCATTCCAGTTATCAGTATATTGTAGTCTACAATGGAGCCACGTTACTTTGAAGAATGCAGTCTATGCATACGTAAACGAAGATCTTACGGGTTGGGGTGAATCGCGCAAGCACGCAAAACGGTATTATTGAAGTTTTGCACACCGGGTCGCTGACGAACACACACACATAGCGCGGTCGATTTTAGTAATAAAAACACACAGACGTTTGTCACACACGCACGCCAATTTAATCTCCTAGAGACGAGAGACACGCACCTGACGCAACCTGAATACAACCTTCAGCGTTTGGTCCTCTGTAAAGTGTAGAGAAGAAAACGTTGCGACAGAGAAATGTGTCGCAACTCCAAGCAGAAGATTGTCAGTGGGAGCAAAAGAGAATCCATACAGTTGCTAACAGATGCTCCGTCGCAACCTTTCTGTCATAAGCCGACATCGAGACCCGGGGTCAACCATCTCATGCGCGGAACGAAAGATCCGAGGTTGTAGCCGACAAGAACAGGCTGGCACACGGATGCATACACACCAGGATTCCAACCGACGCCTGCACCATGCTTCTTGGTTTTTTTTTGTTCTGGGCAGTCCTTGCCGAAGAGATTCCCCATAATGTCGGCTACTGTAGCTGCAGCCGGGTGAAGACTCTCTGCCTCGTCTCGCAGCCTCTGGATATCTTCCCACACGGTGTGATTGCTGCTGTCTACTGTCGATGGTGTGGATCGGCCTTCCGAAACGGCACGAGTTGAGCCGCATATTTCGCTGCTGCTGCGCTGCTGCTTCTTCTTAATCTTCCGCCTCTAACAATGCTGCTGTGTACTTCGTACTTTGTCTCTCGACCTGTCATGCACGATGAGATGTGTTTCTTAGGTTTCATACAATCACAGAACCTATCGGGTCCGGTATGTCTCACCCGCAAGTTCCCCCACACAGCCTAGAATAGAGGCTACCCCGCTGGTGAAGCTGTCGGCCGTAGAATAGAGGCGACTCTTTGGTGACGCTGTCGGCCAGCGTACCACATGAGATGGCTACGGAGCGGGCATCAGGAACGGCCGCTCCGCTACGTTTGCTAACTACTTTCACTACGTCAAAAATGGCTGCCGCTTCAAGATCTACCTCCTCCCGCTAACGTCTGCGTGCACGACTTGCCCTCGGTAACCCTCGCTGCATGTTGTCATATGGGAACGTCGATTCACACAGACGCTTGCGGACGCTTGCGGGGGTTAACAATGAACCAGCAACCGAAATATTTCGCGTAGTTGGAGCAGCCAGCAAACGTACCCGAGAATCCGCCCTGACGTCCGCTACGTAGTAGTCTAGGTTGACGCACTACCCGAACGCGTTCCGAGCGTTCTGTTCTTGATAGTGTTTCGGCTGAGAAAATGTTTCTCGGCATGAGAGCCGAGAGAGACCATGGGTTTAGACTACTGCGGTAGCGGGGAAAAAAAAACGGGGCAGCAGGGGAGATCTCCCACACCTTCGGCGGTTTTGTTAACCAGCCTATGGGCACAACATTCATTCTGCCCATTGGCAGCTAATGGGCAACCCACGGGCCATTTCTGGGCAACAGAAGTGCCCATGGGAAATGTCCATGGGAAATGCGTACAATATGCGCAAGCCCATGGGCAGTTCATGGGGGGGACTTCGTGGGCAGTTCATGGGCTGCCCATGGTTCGGGCAGCCCATGAACCGTCAATGACTGACTTACGGAAGCCATCAATGCTTTTCCCCGCCGTCCCGTTTGAAATTATTACGAGGACCCAGGCCGTGTTCGTTAGATCCTTGTGGAACTATATGCAAAACATGACACGAAGCTAGCCCTCCGGAGATCGGTCAGAGGAGATTGTCGAACTTTCAGTCATGATTGAAGAACACCTGCCGGAAACTGGAGCTGATGCAGTCTCTTGAATTAAGCCCTATACTGAGAAACTCGTGAAATGCCATGCAGAATAAACCGAGTATTCTGCAATTTTCTACAATATACAGATTACCTAGAGGTAGGTGCATGTATGTATGCATGCAACCTTACAGAACATTCCCTGTAAGACTTTTTGCTGGATCAAAAAGGCCAAGAGAAACCCTCCGTACGGGGCTTGTGGGCCACACAAGCTCTCCGGGCAAATGAGCAAGAATGCAAACTAGATACAACCCAATCAGAATAGAGAAGGTGGTTCTTAAACTTGCTTCCCATCTGACAATACAGCCTGACCCAGCCGTGTGAAGAAAGCAGGCCCTGGCAAGGGGCATAACTCTCCATTTCATTTGCGAGAGAATCGGAACCTCGCTTTGAACACTAGCAGGTTGTGTACGTGTCGCCGATGGGCGATCTAACCCTAATTGCTTCTTTGGTTTGCGGTACTTACATCGAGATGGAAGTCCATGGCACCGCAACGTAAGGCAACTTTGTGCAATCATCCAATAAAAGAAGGAACTTAGACACTGCACGCCACGGACAAAAAATGAAGTACGACGTACAGGAACGCCAGCACCTACCCGATTTGTGATGGCAATATTCGTTGCCTCCGTCCTACCCGCGAGCCCAGAAACGCAAAACACACGTCGCCAGCTGGATAGACAAGCCGAATTATTCTCTTCGTAAGGCAAGTGGTGTAGAGGATATCCAAATACTTCTTCCGTCGACGATACTATCTCACGCACCGACAGCCCAACCAATTAAAGCGTTTCCGCACTAGCAAATGGTCTCTTATGGTGTGTACGACGGATGTCGAAACTTATTATCCTCAGGCTTTACGGGATATTGTCATCGTGAATACATGTCCACCATTTCTGTCTGCCATGTTACTCCAGCTCCCATCACAAGCTGACACCTTGCAGGGATGCCAACGACACGTGTGTCAGTTGTTCGATCATCGTCGACTCTGGCGCGATCATCGTCCAGAGCGTGTGCCATCAACTACTCCAGGAACTCGAATGAACGCATCGCTATCGTAGCAGATCTTCACCACCGGCTCTCCCCGGTCAGGGCGTTGTACCAGTAGTAGTTCTGGCTGCCCTCGTCCCACTCCTGGGTCCAACCCTCCGCCCCTCCCCCTTGTTCCCCCTGCGCTGCCAATTCCCACCCCGTCGTTGCGTTTCCCCCCTCACCATTGTCACCGTTGCCCCCCCAAGTCTCCCCGCCACCTTCACCCCCCTGCTGCCCCCAAGCCGGCCACTCGTACCCGTCGAACGGGTTAGAGTCGGCAACCATCGCATTTTGGTTATCACCGCCACCGCTCCACCAAGCCGCCGCTCCCCCCTCCCTGGCCGCTGTGGTGACGCTCGCCCACCCCGCTCCGCCGGCCGCCGCCTGATCCCAGTCTTCGTCGTCTCGAGCGGCGTCGGCGGTGGCAACGTCGGATGGCGGTATCTCCCACACGCTCTCGCCGGTGAAATCGTTGATGTAGTACGTGTTCCCGTCGTCGTCTTCATAGGCGGACCAAGGGCCTGCAGTTGCTGCTTCTGCTGCTGTTTCCGTGCCCGGTGTTGTCGCGAGGTCGCCACCTTGCCTGTTCCCGCCGGACCCTGGGCGCGATTTGCTCGTTGACGGCCGCAGGTCCCACCTAGTGATACGGGGTGATTCGTGGCCGCTGGATGTGACTGATCTACGTATTTCCTCTAACTTTGCTCTCCCGGCGAATTGATTTTGGGTCGATTGCACTTGTTGATCGATTGCCGGCGAGGCTTAAACAGTACTTCATGTTGGCGTTTTGCCGTCTTCCGTTTTTACACCCTGTATAAGGGGCCACGTGATGATTCCTACCCGGCGTGGTAACTTAGGCGCGTTAGCAAAGGTTGGCGAAGCTAGGCTGTTGAAAATGGGAGAGCAACGAGCTATCGAAGTGCTGATTTTCCGTCCCCCTCATAGTTTTCCGCGACACCCCCTGGGTGGGTTCCTGAACGACGGCAACCCACAGCAACCCTATTGCCGCAGAAACCAACACAATTTGCAGCAGCAAAAGCAACAACAACGCCAACATCGCCTCCAAAAAAACTAAAACGGAGTAACGACGGCGGCAGCGGTGATTCCGACATCGACGTACTCAGCAATCTTCACCCAAGCCGGCCTCTGCGAAATCACGCACCCTCGTTTTGCGGCCCTCGTTACTATCCTCTGAGCGCTCCTGCGCAGACTTTCCATCGATATTGCCGTGGCCCTGGGCGGAGGAGCTAGCCCGCCCCACCTTTCGGCCCTCTTCGTCCACTTCATGCCGTCTCCTGATGCGGGGTACCCCCTCTTGGTGGCGGCACGCAATAGGGTCTGCAGCTTTTTGTGGCGACATTCCCACGTCACCTACCGTTTGCAGGTACACGAAGCCAATCAACGTTATGAAGCGGGTGTTGTAGCCGGCGAGTGTGGTCGAGCGGTTTCCGTTGAAGGGATGACTTTTTTTGTTTCACGCTTTGAATGTGCGTTTCCTGAGAATATTTGTATCCCCCTCAATATGTGCCTTTGCTCTTTGAGACACACTTGCCTCTTGATCGTGGCGGATACGGTGGAAAGTTTTGATGTGGACACGACTGGGGAATGGATCTCGCGTCTTGCCGGACAAAACTATTTCCTAAAGGGCCCCATGCGGTCTGCCGACTGCATCTACCTATACCCTTTTCCACCGCTGCCACCGCTGTGAACGCTAGTCTCTGTGTACGTGTGTACGGCGAAGATCTTTTTTTTTTCATCAGATGAATTCAAACAAACAGAGCTAGCGCGGACGTGGTCACCGCCTGCATGAATCAATAATTGCGTAGATATCGCTTCCACCTATTATAATTCTAACCTTCCATTCGTCTATCACCTGGCATACGCCTCCTCAACCAATGTGTTCTCAACATTGCAATTGCCTTGGTTAGTGTACAGTCCAAGTGTTCCACAGGCTTTCCTCAAGTGGGGCCCATTGTTCAGTATCTCTGGTGGCCGAACAAACGGAGGAGGGAGAGGCACGCAGCGAAAGAAGGCCACCTGGCGTGCTACATGGGCTCCAACCTAACTTTGGGACCATGTCCAGGACGATACGAAAGTCTCACCGTCGCGGCGTAAACTCTTTCGGGAGCGCAAAGAGAGTGCGCACGTCCCGCCCTTCCCCTTTCCTTCACCGCGGCCACGTCAGGGTCGACTGAACCAGGCCCGAACGCTCGGAGGAACTTGTGAAGCGAGCGCGCTCCGCGGCGCCAGCGTAGGTGTTGCGAATCCGTGAGCTTGTTGCACTTCATGAGCGGGATTTCAGGCGAAGACGGGGCCGTTGGTGAGCAAATTGGTCCGTGCTGACGTTTTTCTCGTGGAACCGTTGACTGAACTAGTGTTGCGTCGGGCGGCCACGCAGAAACAATTGCAAGTGTACACCTTGCCTAAAGTGTTGACGATAGGAACTACTGTGGTACGGATGGTGAAAGGAACGACGCACTGCTGACGGTAGAGTGTGAAAAACAGCTCCAGGTTCTTGCCTTGCGTGCTCATGGGAAGCCAGAAAAACGGGTTCATGGGTTGTGACGGTTCGATGTTCCATTTTGGCATTCGTCGCCAGCGTTTTCTCCCCAAGGTATGGCCTTGTAGTTTCAGCTCATTGATGTGGAGCTATAGATGTGGAATACCCTTGTCCTTGTGATTGTGATCATGCAAGTGCCTACCACGGTGGTCTGGGGGGAGAAGCAATCGATGTAAGCTATCATGTATCCGTGAGGTGGTTTTGGTGCCCCTGTGCTGGGTTTCCAAGATAACAACAAACAGGCGACACCCTGCTTTTTTTTGGAGCGGTAGGACGCCCTGCTGCTGCTGCTACGCTGGGGTTGTGGATGGTTCTGGCGATTGCCTTTGCTGTTACCGTGAACTGTTTTTAGTTCTCGTGCTCGACCGTGAACACCCTCTGTCCGCCGGGCACAAGAGGTGCTGTCAACGCTGGAGCCAAGGAGACCGGATCCCAACCGAACCCGGCGAGACAAGACAACACATATGTATAGCACTCGCGCCAGGTGGAAGGAAAGTTGGCCGAAAAGGCACACAATTATTCGGCCTCTCTCAAAACATGACCATCTTCGGGTACACAGTAGGGGTGAAGTGAAGCCCGGGATCAACCGGTGGAGATCGCTGCACGCCACCCACGAGAAACACCCAACGTTCCTTTCCCCATGCATACCTTTCTGTCACCAATCTGGAGATACCGAGTAGCTCCAAGAGAATTATCCACCCCCATCCAGTACCTGCAGAGGACCAACAAATCAGTGGCTTTGTAGGGATGCGACGTCAATGGTCTAACGACTACGGCATGCACGACTCTGAGTACACCCCCCATCCAATACCTGCAGAGGATCAACAAATCAGTGGTTACCGTTTGCGGGGCTCTATGGATAGGGGGGACGGGAAGTGGTCGGGCATGGACTCTTGAGCGCGATCAAGCACGGCCCGGGACCCTGCGTGAACTTGTTGGTGTTGGTGCCCCCGACCATCCACAGCATGGTGGCGGAAGGAGTACCCCTTTGCCGGTTATCTACCCTCGAGAAATCCCGACAATATCACTTTTATGGACGAAGCACCCAGCCCTCTGGAACCACTGGCTTCGTCACACCCGTCGGATTGGCTTCCTGACATATTCCATGTCAAACGAAGGAAAGGTCTGTCCCCCTCGCGACGAGAAGCGAACTCCGTCAACCACGTCGGAGTTCCACGCCGCCGGGCTTCTCATGACCACGTGTATGCCGAAAAAGATACATTTGTCGGGAAAAAAAAGTGTTTCTACTTCCATAGATACCTCTTCACCTTTTGAATACCGGAGAATTGTGCAAAATTTCCTTGAAATTCAAAGCGAACCTGACCTTCCGAGCTTTTGCGCCCATCTGAGGTCTTCTCCCGATACAGTTTTGTCCACCCGAGCCGCGAAGTCCCCCTCCGAGAAGCTCGCCCGACGCCGGCTGGACAAGCGGTGCAGCTGCGATGCCCGCATCCGCGTGACCCTTTGGTAGAGTCTCTCCGGCCCCGCGAGGTCTATCGTCCGCCTGGCGAAAAATTTGAAGTTGTTGATACAGTTGTAGGTGGTGGGTCTGGTGGTGGTGGCACAGTGGTTGTATATGTTGCTAAATACTGTTGCTGAATTTCTGTTGTTGGGGCGTTTTTCACCGTTGGAAAGCATTCTGTCCAGTACCCTCCCCCAATTTTCACACACTCAGTCGTCGTACCCCACCCAGTTCCTGGGACAAGAAGTCGCACCCTTCTATTCACTCGACACCATTGTAGTGTCTCTCTCCGTACCGGGGAATCAGAGGTTGACAGGACCGGACCAGGGCATCCACGTCCGGATCCGCCACTCCTCCCAACCGCCCAGCCCCACGTGCCTCTCCACAATAGCCCCTTGCCCCGATTCGGTCCGTGCCTTCTCCCAGACCTTCACCGCCGCCGCTGCTGCTGCTGCCGCTGCTTCCACCCTTCGCCGACCGCCACTTCGGCCTTTCACCTCCGGCCGGAAGACCGACCGTCATGAGGACCACCTTCTCCTCGGGCAGCCGCCGCTGCGGTGGGAACTGCCGCTGCAGCTGCCGGACGTCGCGGCGACTCCAGAGCGTAACGGTTTCTCGACGGGCGAGGCCCCTCCTGACCCGAGGGTCCGAGGCTGATGCGAGCGTCTCGAGAGTGACTCCCTCTCTGTCGAAATGTTCGGCAGGTTCGAGAGGAGCTTAAGAAGGGTGGTGTGCGAGGAGGGTCCTTGCAAAGCTTCGGCGATCGTTGGGGCGAAGGTGAACATTACTCATGGGGATGAAATAGTGGCGTCATTTTTTGGGGGCGGGCGTGGGGGGGGGGGTGCGTTCGCGGTCATGTGTCGCTGAAGTATAGTATACTGGGTACATTGTTCTCGCTCGCCTTGTCGAGAAGTCCTTCAAGGCCTGGCGCTGCTGGTTGAGCGCCATGATTACCGGCTGCAGCTTGCAGTAGTAGCGGTAGAACGCCGACTCGAGATCAGCCGCAGCCATGCCTTCACGGTTTCGTTTTCGCTCTTCGTCCTTTTTTATAGGGTCAGAGTCAGCGTTCGGAGGGTGTGTGATAGTGTAAGCCGATTGTAACAGCGAGAGATACTGCTGTCGACTTCACAATGTAGTTCGCTGTGCATTTCTTCGCGCGCTTGTCAAGGCCAAGCAACGTGTCCACCCCATACAGGGCGCATACGGGGAAAAATTGAAGGAAAGAGAAATTGGCATCCGTACCTTGTCGAATCTGGCTATGCTCTTCTCCATCGCCCCGAGGACTGTCACGTACCATACCGCCTCCATCGCCTCTCGCCGCCGACGCCCTTTCTCCTCTAGCCGGCGCCGCGCGAGCCTCTTCCCGAACCAGCCCCGCAAGATCTACCGCGTGATTGCGTCCGCGATCCAGAAGGCAAGGGTGAACAAAGTGTGCGACAGGACGAGCAAGGTTCACCGAAGGAGACCATGTATCGGTTATCACCGACCGTGCAGTGAACACTCTTTGGACGCAAGCTGACGACATGAAACAGCTAACCTATGCAATCCCAACATCATGACACAACAGAACAAAACCATTTGGTGAAACCCCGTGCTTTGTCTTTCGGTGGTGTTGCTCCTATCGGTATCCTTTGCCTACCTGCAACCTGTCGGGTTCCATTTGGTCTTGCCTGATTCTATCGATAGGAGAGCTCAATGAGAAAGCTATTGTTGTCTACAAAGAGACAGGACGAGATTGCACCAGCAATGCTAAGGGAAAACTGCGGGTGAACACGGAGGGATCATGGCCGTACCAAACAACGTTCCAGACCAACCCGACCACCAAAACCAACCTTCAACCCAAACCTAAACCCAACCCCAATCTCAACGTCAACCCACCCGCTGACATTCCACGGCGTTGTGGTTCAGCCACCTCGCGGTGTCCCCGCCGTCGTCCTCGTCCTCCACGGACACCAGCAACCCGCACGGCGAAGCTGGTGCCGACGCATCAGGGGAAATGTTCCGTCGTCCACGCGGCGAACAAATATTTCCTCCTGTTTCTGTGTGTTCGGTTCCTTTTAGACCGACAGCAGTATCACGTCCGGCTCCTGGCTTGGCACGAGAATGGATTCCGACCCCGTCGCCGCCGCAACCACCCCCACCTACGTCTCTGTTGGTATTGCTGTTACCCCACGTGAATGGACGCATACCGCACTGGCACAACACTCGCAGTCTGTGGAACGAAGCATTGACGGGCAAAGGGGGGCGGGGTCGCTGTTTCCGGATGAGTGTCGGCGGGGCCAGATGCACCACGCTTCCTCCAGTCTGTGCCTCCGAGAAAAGAAGGAGTTGCGCACGTGCAGTAGTGGCAGCGCATTGAACGAAATGGAAAGAAAAACGAGGTTGTTGCGCAGTAAGAACAACCTCCGACGTCTGGCAATGTCCAACAATAGCACATTTCACCGAAATTGTTTACGACCCCACTTTCTTTCAACTCGATGCAATAGAGGAGGTCCACGACCTGCGGCGGGTGTGTAACCTGCGCTCTCATGCTCGGTGGGGTCAACACGAAACAGCTCCATCTAGGCCTCCTACACGTCCCTCCCCACAGCACCTACACCTTCGGGTGCAGGGGCGTATCTCATGCTGTCGGTGGCAAGAACGTGCGCACTTGCGGCAGATGCACGAAACACCACAGGAGGCGCACTCGAAGAGGGGTTCGGGGTTGGGGCCGCGATTTTTCCACGGGGGGCGGCGCGGACAGCGCCACAGTCGGAGGAGCCCGGACTCCCACTTCTTCATGCCGACGTGACTTTTGGATCGTTGATGTTGTTTGTTGGATCCGAGTGATGATGGCGTTGGTTGTCCAATCGCGTTGCGTTGAAAACCGTGGAAGAATGGGGGGAAGGTCATTGCGCGTGAATGTATGGTGGACGCGGGCAAAGAGCTGGGCGTGTTGGGGAAATATGAATGACGTGGGGCACAAAATATGTGATCTAGAGTGTCTCGAGAATCGCTACAGTCAACGCTGACGCGGTAGCTCTGTGGAAGTGGCATACATCCTACAGGACCGCGATGGTGTCATTGCCCCACACACAGGAAAGGCGGCAAGCATGAAAAACCACCACATGGATCAAGACCAGAGGCTGATAGCTGTGTGAACATGGCGACGACAAGTGAACCGTTGCCCTAACAAAGGTTTAACCTCGGCCCCAGCATGTTGGAACCACTCCGCAAGTGCGCCCATCGCTTGTGTACACACACCTTCCGACGACCTTTTTCCACTGTTTGTCCTTGTCCCATCCCCAGGGCGGAGGTGAGCAATCCAGCGTTAGCGCGGACGCATGTCTCTCGCCGGCCGCCATCTTGACGACCAAATGCCTCCCTACACCTGGAAAATCTACCCTCGTCGGCGCCACCTGAGAGCCACAAGTTCGGATAGGTAAGCGAAACGTGTAACAGGCGGAAACTCGGGGCGTTGTGCAGAGACCGCCAATAGGGAGGGTGTTGCAGAAACTTATTTTTCGAGAAACGCAACAATCGGAACGAAGGAGGCACCGTGGGTGCCACGAGAGATAAGTTCGTTCAGGGGCATGCAGAACGTTCAATGTTGACATCGTCCGTAATCTGTTAGGCAGTGATGCGTCAAAAGCAGGGCCGCACCTTCCTGCCGACCCATGTTTTCTTGGCTGTAGTGGGTATACCATGGCGCACGTGCTACAGTTAGGTATAGATACCTCGAGCTTCCGACTGATGTACGATAGATACCCTTGACTATACGACAGGGTCAGAGTTGTGCGGTTTTTGGGGCACAAATCCCAAGCCCAGACTTGCATGCTCGCTTTCGCGAGGGAATGGATGCATTTTTCGCAATGCTTGTTCCTCCGCCGGCATCTCCCATTCTAGAAAGATCACTCACAAAGCACTGTCTCCCCGCAGCTCTCGTTTGGTTTGGGAGCTAAGCCCCCCCTCCCTTGTTGGACAGCTCCTGTCGTCGGGGGCAACCCCAACGCGAACAAGAGAAACTCCCATCCCAGAATGCTGGTCCTACCTGAACGGGAATCTTACCCGCGAATCTTTCGCGATGCCAAGCCCGAGCTGCCCTGCCCACCCTTTTCCCCACGCAAACATCTGCCCCTGCACGTTGGTGGCAAGGCTGAACGACTTTCCGGCCACGATGGACGTCATCAGCTCTTTCCTGCCGGATCGGTTGAGGTCATAGCGACACGGGTACATCGTCAGAGTGCTTGGGTACAGTGTTGTTGTAGGTGTTGTTCCGGCAGCGTTTTGTTGGTGTTGTTGTTGGTGGTGACGGTGCGGGTGTTGGCGCGGCGGAGGTGGTGGCGGAGGTGGTTGTGTGGGCGTCTGTGGTGATTGTTGTTTTGGGTGAGAGCGCTGGTTGTCACGGCAAGCGCATGTTGAGTCAACCCGTCCCGTTCCCGCTCCGACACATTCGGGCTTGCCTTCATGCGCTACTGCCGCCACCCCTAGCATGAATCGTAACAGCAGAATCTTGTGGAAAAGTAGCAACCCTTCGGAATATTGATAAATCACAAATCTAAGGCAGCTACGTGTACACCGAACAAACTCTGGCGGTGGCACGGTCCTAAATGCAGACGCTCCGAAGGTGGTATTTGTTCTGGCTGCTTGCCGCTTGTAACAGCGCGTTCTCACTTGTCGAAGGCAATCTTCGAAGGCATCTTGATCTCTCCAACCTGGCGGGCGGGTGTCGTTCAAGGGTTTTTGGTAGGGGTAATCGCCTTAGGCCACAGTATGAGTTTTTAAAATCTAAACGTATGAATTCCGACAATTCCTGGTGTCATGAACCTGTGTGCTATTCCACTCCAATAAATTCCACGTGCAGCGCCCTAGAGTGGCCGGGTGCACCTATGCGGAAGCTTCACCCAGCAAGCACCCACCCTTCGACCCAACCCTAGCTGTCCGCAGTACCCGTATCCCCACGCGTAGGCCAGACTCTCCGCGCCCCATGGGTTTGCCAGGGTGGTCGGCGCGCTCCGGTGTGCGAGAACGATGCTGTGTGCCCCTCCAAGCGCAACGTCCTGCACGACGCAACCCGGAAAGCCCGGTGGCCAGTTTTTGAGGCGGACAGGCGCGTGCCGGCACTTGTTGTCTCCCGTGCCGAGTCGTCCATGTGCTCTGCGAGGAAAGATGAGAGTTGTTTTCCGGTCAGGGGTGGGGTGGTTGCTGGGGGGGGGGGGGCATGCTGTTGTCAAGGGGTCGGCGGGAAACCGGATGGTTTTGGCGGTGAGTTTGAGAGAAGATCAGGATGCTCGTCGCCGTTTGAAACCGTTGCAGGCAGGAACGTGCGTACACGGGTCGCGAACAAGTGCAAGGATGCCCCGCGAAGTGCTGTCGACGCACGCACCCCAACGCAACATCTCAGGCAACCGAAACAGTAAAAAGAACGACGTAAACCCCACTTCGACAGTGCGGAGTTCCTCGGCGCCATGGTATCCAAACTAGAAAGAGAATCCGACCCCTGCTTGCTGGATGCCACGACCCGCGCTAGCGCCTGACCAGCCAAGCCAAACATGATCAACGTGTCCTACTTCGGTACGCTGGAGGAACGTGGGAGGAAGTACGAGATGGTATTGTATTTTGGTTGTCTCTATGTCTCTCACCCCCTCCCCCAAAGGTGAACCGACTGGGGCAGAGACACCGCCATCGAGTGGGCGGCACCGGCTCCTATCAGTGCTACCGGATCCGACCCTACGCCTTCCACGCGGCACGGCTCCCAGCGATCCTTGTAGTCGCCGTGACCTAGGCGGCCATCCTGCCCACAACCCCAGCTAAAAACCTTTTGGGATCGGCATCCGAGCACGTACGTGGTAGGCAGATGACAGCGGCTGGATTTATTAGTACCGACACCGTTGTTGTCGATGCCTTTGCTGCTGACCTTGCTCTTCTCTCCGTACTTCATGTCGTTAGTTTTCAATTTTTGTGCAAGACAAGGGTCCTTGTCGTCTTGAACGCGCAAAAGCACGGCTCTCGCGTCTGTGTGCTGGTCAGTTCGTCGAGTAAACGTACACATATATCCCAGTCTACGGCACTGCCTACACATGGGCCTGGGTGCCATTGCTCCGCGCCTCACGCGCACTACTGTACTTCTCTGTTAAACACCACCTCACCAAGGGAGCCACCACCCCGCACTACTCTCAAAAGTACCTTCCCATCCAGGGTGACGCAAAGGGCGTGAGCAGCACCCGCCACGACACTCCTGACCGGCAGCCCGGCCAGGGCGCGAATCACGTGCGGAGTCCTGCGGTCGACGACACCCTCTCCTAGGCCTAGCTGCCCTCTTTGGCCGGAGCCCCACGACAACAAGCGGCCCTGTGTGTTTTGAGGATTTTTTTGTTGCCCACCCCGTAAAAAGATACGCCGCAACAACAATACACGGAGATGGGGAGAGGGTGAGACAGGGTTCCGGGTGGGATGACGATTGAGCAGCACCGAAAGCGGTCCGCTGTGTGGCGCGAAAAAACAACGCCACGCGATCTATGTCACCTGAAATCGCCGGTGCAGCGTACGCTCCTCCTCGAGGATGTGCTCCCACAGCTCTTTAAGCGACTCGCTAGACGGAGACTGCTCCAGTAGCATCTTCACCGACTTACCTCGTTGCGATTTCAATCAATACGATACAGCGGTCGAGTTTCTGTTCATGATGATGGCGAGAACAAGCTACAGCATTGAACGACAGCGGATTTCTGATCGGACTGCCGTATACACATGCGTCGTACGATACCGTGGCAGGGTTGGTTGCACTCGTGGACTTGGAACAGTTATCGACTTCCCTTATAGTGGTAGGAGACATTCAACACAGTGGTTTTGCTGCCTTACGAAAGCGGTGATGTCGTGGCACGTCACACCAGCTTACATCTAAACGGATATCGCCAGTATGTACTTTTTCTCCAGTCCTTTGCTCCATACCTTCTAGTTCTGTGCTATGTTCTGAACGGTTAGCACGGCCTCCGTAAAAGCAAACGCTTGCGTTCTAGCTCAGTTCGTCCGGTGTGCAAGCTTCACAAACCGATCGTGCCCCTCACCATCTTCATGCAAAGGAAGCCCTCGGTTGCGTGCGCGGCGTCTTCCGCGTTGGCCTCCCTCGTCACCGAAAACGTATCGCCCGCAGCAGCCTGTGCAACCCAATAGTCCTTTCCCGCCTTCAGATCGCCGGAAGGGTGCACCTGTGTTTTTGGTGTTTTCGTGCGCGTGTGTTGTATGGTCATTTTCGTGTTCCCAGCCAGATTATGTTGTCATGTTTCGCTAGTTTTGTAGGCCACAAGCAAGGAAAATGCAGATGAGCATCGATCCTTCAGTGTGGAAAAGCAATGCACTGCACCAGCCGCGACGACGACGAGCAGTTCCTTGTTCTTTCAGACGTCATATACTGCTCCGGTAAGCCGTATGCTTTCTCGACAGTCGAGCAAGGCACACACGTTTCCGCACGAGGGGGTCCGAGAAATTGGCATTGTCGTCATTACCTGCTTGGGCAGTCTCTGAACGGCCCGACGATCAGGGTGGTTGGTGAACTGGCTTGTGGTGCCCAGCTGCCAGGACAGACCTTCGCCCACAGAAAACACGAGGCCGTCATCGGAAACAAAGAGCGTGTGGCGCTTTCCCGCCGCGAGATCCACGAACTGCTTCTTCTGTTGGGGAACATGCCAGCGAGTGTGTCGACCGGTGATGCGGAACGAGAAATTGAGCCACTACAACCCACAAAAGTCGTATCGGTTGCTCGTCCTATGCTCTTAGGATGTTCTAGTGATGGGTTGAGGAAAAATGCGCTCCTACTGTGTATGCTTCCTCTAGTAGTTTCGGTAGCGACTGTATCTGCTGTTCTGCGGGAAAACACATGGCCGCACTCTGAAGCGAAAGAAATGAGGGATAATCCTAGGGCATAGACACATCCACCGCGACAGCCACATCCACATAATACCCTCTACTACGCATCCCGTAGGCACCGCAGGTAAGGATATTGACCCACTCTCATCGCGAACGGCAACATCAAGCATGAACAGCGGTCAATTCCAGCGACTTCCTTGCATCTTCAATATGCCAGGCCTATGTTGTTGTAGTCAAGTCAAGTCAAGTCAAGCTCTCAAAGCCGTCGCATTGTTGAGTGGTAGTTTCCGTACCGTAAAGTTCGGGTGCAGCGGTCTCGGTGAGGATTCGGACCCATCCCGCCCAGTTCCGATCCTGAACTCCCCTCCCCACCCCCAACCAAGGGCAATCAGAGTGCCCTCAGGCAACCCCTTCAGCCTTTTCACATTGCCGCGATCTGCGTCCTTGCTGGTGGTCTTAATCTTCCTCCCAAACCTGTCCACTTCACGAGGTGTGGGGTTTGTTCCTTGGAGGGCGGGGCTTTTCCTGGTATCCGCCTTCGACGACTGTTCGTCCGTAGCTTGGCCAACGCGCCGACTAACCGTCGCCGATCCTGGCGCAGACATATCTCCATCGACGCCGGACCGTTTCTGTAAACTCAAGCGGATATCTCCGTCTGGTCCATTTTCGCCGGTATTGGCCCGATACTTGTTCGGATTTCGCTGCTGCTGCAATTCACCACTGCTCGGCGAGGGTTGTCCCGAGGGGATATTTTCTCTTCCCTTTGTATTCCTGGCTTGTGATGATATCAGCCGCAGATGTTGCTGAACGGCCCTGTGCTCGGCATCATCGTCCCCCTGTTGCCCTCGTTGGTCCACGCCTCCCTCGACTCGACGGATTCTCTCGTTCGACGCGAACAGAGCGTCGGGCACGGTAACGGCATTGACGCCTCCATCCTTAGTCAGTTTCCAGAAATGTACATTGTCAGGGGGTGCTTGCTCGCTGTCCAGCTCCCACTGGCGGAGCTTAGCGGCTGTGACTAACCGCGCGTTTCTGAGGACCACGCGGCGGGAATTAGAGATGTACTATATCAGTCAGAGGTTTCAACACATGTTGCACCTGCACCTGGAATAAGAACTGGAAAATCATGGACGATGCTGCACGCAGACACGTGTGGCAATTTGGTGGTGTTCCTGGTGGGAACTTGGAGTAGGGCTTCGTGTGTTGTTGGCAGTAACATCAGTACGGGGCCAGGTATTTCTGTGTTTCTGCGTGTAGCCTGCATCATCAGCAGAAAACAAAACGACTTGTGCATCGGCAGGATAGGACCGTTACGATAGCGCCAGTACAGCACGGTGCCTGTGTTGTGTTTAGGCATACCGCCGCTCGTCGAATTGCTGTGTGTGCTGTTGCTTGTGCTTGCGGGAACTACCGCTACTGGAGCAGCAGAAGACTTCTTAGCCGTGGCTGCTCCCGCTGATTTCCGCCCCCTTTGGCAGACATAGCAAGAGCTTACGCGTGGTGAAGCGGCGATTCTCCGGTGGAGGAGGTATTTGATATCGTGGTCGCTGCTGACAGCCTCCTCATAATGCCCCCCTGTTTAACTACTGGTGTGCGTGTGGTAGGCCACGTGATAACTGCCGATATATTCGGGGGGTCAATACCGCGACTTATGTCCTATGAATGTGCTGGGAATTGGATTAAAATTGATCTTCAGGGTACATTATTGTGGACAAAGGCAGGTTTACAAAACACTCATAATGAGTTCAGCTCGCACCACGGTACTCTGTCTTCTTGGTCAATCTCTGACACACATCCTTATTCTCTGCCGAAAAATAAGCATCATATCTTCCTGGGAGCCAATCAGCTGTCTGTGTCTAGTCCGTAGACTACTGTAGATTTCCAGTCTACGTCGTGGGGAGATGCCAGAACGTATTCCCGTTGTCGACCATCACAGGTGGTAAGCCCATTTGAAGTGCGGGTCTGCTTCTGAACAAATACGCCATGGTTTACGAGACCGATACACCGTTCGCACCGCAGTGAGAAACGTCAACATATGTCTACAGCGTAAAGTAGTCGAGAAGACATCTGCGGTGCGTGCCGTGCATAGTGTACCACAGCAGTACATGTACTGTAGATCGGACTTACTTGTGTTTTTACCTTTTTGGTTGCTTGGAAATATACCAGAATCCAGACGTCTCTCGGAACCCTCGTTGCGAGAGGTGGAACTGCTTCCCTTTGAGCAAAAGGAGAACACCACGGGAAGGCCCGTTGCCACCTGCCTCGGAGGTAAGGATCTCGAATGGGACAGCAGCAACTGGTGCCTGTTGTGGCGACCTTGGACATCTGTCGTCATCCGTGAATTTGACACGTTGGCTCCGAGAGGTTCGCTGCAAGATGGAGGACATTCTCCTCTGCTGCCTGTTCTTCCCACGCAGGACTATTACCGCTCCTGTCTGTTCCCCAGGACCGCATGTCGGGGGGCAAAGGAGGCTGCCGCGTGCGGTGCGGCTGGTAACTGGTAACGTGTGATTTAGGCAAGAAGCGGGGTAATCAGACCGGTTCGGGTAACCTTTCGGGGCTCTCCAGAGATTCGCCGCACATCAAACGGGGGAGATCGGCAGATCTTTGCTGCGACGCTTGGGCGGATAACTGAAAACCAGCATGTCTGCTCTCCTGCTGGCGGATCTGCTCTGATGGAAGAACTAAGCGCTAACTACCTCTTCTTGCCACTTCATTCCTGCTCCCTGTCTCTTTAAGCGAGACGGTACACGTCGGGACTAAAGCGGAGATACCCCGAACGAACTCAGCCGGTTGCGGCTACACTACACTCTAATTTCAGAGACGCGTCCTCACCGCGTTGTCAGGGAAGGACCATAGATATTTAGGTAGGCTGGTACTTGTACGGCTCTCGGATGGAGAGATACGATGTGCCGGATGCTCAACTCCCCACGGCGAGGTCGTCTTCCGATCTTGCGTCTGTCAGGGAGGATTTCAGCTCTTGGCTAGACGCTATCTTTCCATCCAACAGGTTAGTCAGGCAGCGAGAACGTTTCCAAGCGTAACTAGCATGAGGAGCTGAGGATAGCATTTTGTTCTTGCAAACGACACTCCTGTCCACGAAATACATGAATATATGGAACTATCAGTGGGGTTCCACGCGAGATGGCGCCATCCTGCAAGAACGACGAATTTCTGTGTTTGAATTCTGTTGTTTTTATACCTGTGGTGCAAGTTTTTCATGTAGCCTGCCGCTATGGTCGGAGGTTCAACGACGGTGAAATGGTACCCGCTTTCATTACCACAGGTTGGATGAAGAGCACCACAAGAAGCAGCAACGCCGCAAGGTTACCCGTCAGCAGCAAGCAGTTATCGCTGCCAAACTGAGACAAGCCCTCCCCATGGAGCTTCCACATCCCACCAAGGACTCCGTAGCACAACCCTGTACCAGCGGGGACCGGACGTCACATGGCAATCTAACAGAGCAAAGATACGGCGAATCAATGCCTACTTTGGCGCTCAGCGGATATAACGTTAGAGAGACTATTCACTGCGATGTATCGAGTCCAGGACGCCCATCACCAACACCGGCACGGCGGTCGTCAGCACCTCCCCTTTCCTTTCCTCTCGTGCGGCAAAACCATCTTCAACGTTTCCACCACTCTTGCAATAGAAAACAAGCCGTTCCCTCTGTGCTGCAGATGCAAGGCAGTCATCCTGCGAGCTTTCCGCATATGAGATATAGCAGCAGACTATCTTCGCACCGGCCGGGTCTCCAGTTCTTCGAATCCATCCCTTCTCGGGCGCTCGTCAGTGTGGCTTGCACTCTTGTTTTCCTGGGGGCCGACGAAGCGAAACGGGTACTACGTAATTCGGTCGAAATATCTGAGCATGCCCCTATCTCAAGCTTAGACGCCGACTAACCTAGTACCTATTTTCCAGTCCCCCTTGTAAATCTGCGTCGGTTGATGCCTGTCCAGACTCGGCCAAGGTGTGATGCAACTGCGATTTTTCTGTTCTATTTTATGGCCCAGTGTCAATATCCTTTCACTTGTATGGCGGGGAATTCATTTCATACGTTGGACACTGCACTCAAGAAAACGAAATCCTTCCCGCCCCATCGCTTGGTACGGTCATGATCTCACACGCTCCTCTCGTCCTTTCGCTCAAACGCGATTGACGCTTTACCGTGATCTCATACAGAACGGTGGCGAGGTCCTGTGGTTGCGCACGAACGCCACAGGCAAAACCCAGAGACGGGTTTTGTCCACTGCAGAGTGCTTCATCACCAACCCTAGGCTTCGTCGCCGAGTGGCACTCAGCCTCAGCGGACGAGGGAATAACGGGAATGGTGGTGCCCAAACCACCATGACCCCGACAAGCGCACCCGCTGCGTTGCCGGTGGCGGCGGCGAAGGCGTTAGCAGAGGCGAGAATGGATTCTCAGAAGGCGGGAACGAGAGATCAGACCCACCTTCGCCTCCGGCATAGATCAGGTTTGCTGTGCTGTAGCTCCTGGAGAATGCTGGTCAGTTGAATGTATGCTGATTGTGGCGAATAGTTGCGATCCAAATGTTCGTGGTTGTTGTGGTATTGTGCTGCCTTCGATGCTAACGATGTACTGGCCCAGAAGAGCTGCGCACATCACTTGACTTATTTCTCCGACAATGTGACCACTGCTGCCGATTCTCGTGGCCCAGGAAAGGGAGAAAATCGGCACCCGGCGGCCTTGCTCAAGGTGCACCGGCCTGCCGTCAAACACAGTAAAGACAGCACCAACCACAGCAAAAAAGGCAAACGGAATGGAGAAAAAGGAGGGAGCACAGACGTCGCGATTTTGCACGACGTTGGCCAGATCGAGCAAGCCCTAATCAACGCCGGCAAAGCTGTGAGACAATCACCACCTGCCATGGGCACACCGGACAGCGTCACAGCACAGCTTCAGCAACCGCAGCAGATGCCGCGGCGACCAACCTCTAGGGCATATATCAACGACAACGAAGGCCTTGCCGCCGATCTATCACGTGACCATTGCGGCCCAGGCGCTCAAGACATCGCTCCAAAGAACGACCAATCGCGCCAGTATCCAAGCCAAGGGGACAATGTCACGCTCGAGGTGGGCACGCCAAAGTTGGATACTGGCCAAGATGTGACACCAGTTGTTGGTCACTTGACTGCAGCACCATGCGGAGATTTTGCTGTGCCATCCGCCGGGCTGGCAGCGACGGGCTTGCGGTCGGAAGATGTTTCAGGGTTGCACGTCAGCACGGCAAAAGATGGAACGGTGCCGAGATCACGACCATGGGCTATCCAGAAATTCCTCGTGGCGAAGGGGCCGCGAGCATGGTACTGACAACTGGATTTTTCGACAGCTCGATTAATTTTATTTCTCGTTTTCCAAAAAATGTGTATTGAGGGGACAGGGGTCAACATATCATTTTCGACTCTGTTGAGGGTGCTGTGGAGTGCCTCGCATTGCGAACAAGTATGTTCGTGAAAGCTTCACTCATACCCTGCTTGAAAACTGACTTTCTTTTCAAGCAGCACCGTCATCGATTTATTATCTATCCATCATGACATACATATTACTTCAAATTTTATCACATTATAGCGCAGCGACTTGTCCATCCAATTCAACTACAACCAAGGCATCGCCGCATACAGCATCTATACCCCCACAGTGCAACCGTTGAACTGCAACTTCCAATGTTGGTGTCCCTCTAGGTCATGATTTCTTCTGCATTGTACCGTGCCTCCCGTTTGCTGAAGGGTGGTCAGAGTCGTTTGGAGGAGAAACCTGGGCTCCTATTGCTGGGTTATCAGTGATTCTGATCCGTTTATCACCTCGGGACTTTCCCGCGGTGGTTTGGGCCGCGTCAGTACGTGCAGTGCCGGTAAGAATGCGCTTAGCGTTCATGTCCTATATGCGTGGACTCATGCACACTTGGACCTTCTGCCGATAGATAAATGGTTGTGATACCAACATAGAACCGGGAATCCCATGATTCGTGCGATATTGCTTTGGAATATCATATCTGGATCGCAATTTCTGCATGTTGTTGCTTGATTCCGCGCACGTCAACGCAAGTTCGGAGCAAGGCTGGCCCTGCTGGTTGGGAAGCTCCGAAACGCTTCGTGGCCAGCATTGTGGAGATTTTGGAAGTAGCATCAGCAACGGGTACGAACCAGTTGCGTTTCGAAGAGTTCGTGGCTGATCTCATCGAGGATAGCGATGGGAGATGGTGGCTCACTCAGGCAAGCGTCGGTTTGTATGATACATACCGATAAGGGGGAAATATTAGGGTGTGAAGCGGAAAAGGACACGCGTTTCAACTCGATGCACGGTTAATGAAGTGTGCTGGCCGTCGCGCACCCTTGTCTGCTCGCGACGCATTCCATGTTCTAAACCATCCCTGGGCGTCTTGCCTGGTTTCACCATTCTGTCTCTCTGAGTGTGGACGTTATATCCTTTTTTGCCGATACCGCGCGTTGTGGTGTGGTACCCATCACGGTTGAATACACACACATCTGATACATACCATCGTACCTCCCTCCACGGCTCATGTGCGTCGGTTCCTCCCCCATGTTGTCCCTCTCCCCAACATCTGTAACGGAAACGCCCTCCCAGGTCAAGGCCTTTCGCCTATTGTGCTCCCTCGAGATCACTCCGCCATCAAACTCGGAATATACGATATCCGGTTTGCGGAACTCCGCGGCGTCACACGGTGTGTTGGATTCATCAGGATCCACATGTACGAAGGGGGAATGCAACCACAGTGCAGAGGGTCGCAACGCACTAGGTATCGGGGTCGATGGCCCGAGGGGAAACGTCGAAGAACAAGAGACGCACCGAGATGATGGCGGGCAAGATCAACATCGTCCCGCCGTGGCGGAGAAGAAGGGGTCTGTCATCCCCCCCGAATCACCTGTCCTCTCTCCTTCTTCCCCTGCAACACCTACCCCCATCAGCGATAAAGCCATCGATGTGATAAGAAGGCCAATAATAGAAGAACCCCTTGGGGTCGGGGTGCTTCATCCTGACCTTCTGCCTTCGAGGGATGCCAGCCTCAAGGACAGCCGTAGGTCAGGGTGTCCCGGATTGTACTGCAACAGAAGCGAGGCGCGTGGGGGGGAGCGACCGCAACCACACCCCGGGTCAAAGGAGATTCCTCCTGCGACGGAAAGCCATCCGATGTTTCAGTTACCTCTGAAGGTAGAGGAAACCGGAGGTCAATAACGTGGAACAGGTTTTCACCCTGTACGTGCTTTCGAGAATCGTTGTCACGTAGACTCATCCGCTGTTGAGTAGGGGACGCTCGAAGGACAGATTGTCCAAACGACATGCAGACGGCGTTCCGCCAAAGAAGCTCATTTGGCGCTCGACGAGCGACGGCCTCCTCTTCAATTCATTACGTCTTATAGCTTCATTGGTACTGATGTCACCCCCCCCCCCCCCCCCCCCCCA